AGAGAGAGAGAGAGAGAGAGAGAGAGAGAGAGAGATGAATGAGTTTGGTCATATAGATGTAATGGTAAGGAAGAGTGATATGATTAAGTTGACATGGGATGTGGTACAACCAACCAGACCAAGCCTTAAGTCTCATCAAATGGGGTTGACTACATGAATCATTCTTCTCACTCAACTCTATCAACAACCATTTAGTTATTCAAATTAAGGAGATTCATATATCTATTTAATGCGTCAGCTCATGTCAATTTAGGTCTATCCCTTCCCCTAACACTTCTATCTATCGTCACTGTATCGCATCTCTTCAATGATTTTTATACTAAATTAGATAGTAAAGTTGGAGAAAAGAATATTTACAAACCCCAAGGGTTTGGTCTAGTGGGTGTAGGTTGAGGCTTAGGGGTGTGCTCCTAGTCTCATGTTCAACTCTCACTAGGTGCTATCAATTCTTTGGGACTACGCCCACGAGCTCTAGCTGAGATTTTTCCAATCCACGTGGTGGGGGCGTTTTGCATGGGTCCCGGGATTAGTCGAGGTATACCTAAGTTGGCCCAGCCAGTTGGTCAAAAAAAAATATATATATATATATTTACAAGCTTGGTAAATTAAGAGAAGAAAATAAGAGACTTTAATCAGGTTAAGTGTATAAAAAGTGAGGATGTAAGGGTATTAGTTAAAGATGAGGAGATTAGGAAAAATTGAAAAAGTTATTTTAAGAAATTGTTAAATGAAAAATATTTAGAAAATTTGGGAGGAGAGGAACGTGATAGCGTTGATAGAACTAGAGAATATAGGTTTTATCGTTGATTGAGGAAGTTCGAGGTGAAATTTGCACTGGAAAGGATGAAATGAGATAAAGCATTAAGATTAGATTGCATCCTTATTGAGGTTTGGAAATTCTTAAGTAAGGAGGTGTTGTCTTGGTTAACAAAATTCTTTAATAAGATATTGACTAGAAAAATGCTTGAGGAGTGGAGAAAAATTATTTTGCAACTACATAGGCCTTAAGTTAATGAGTCATGCAATGAAATTATGGGAGAATGTGATTAAACATCACTTAAGAGTAACACCAACTGTGTTAGAGAATTAGTTTGAATTTTTGCCGGTTAAGTTAACTATGGAAGTGATTCGTATTACTAAGAAGATTAATAGAAAAGTACAAAGAGGAGTAATCTACATATGATTTTTATAGATTTGGAAAAAGCTTATGATAGGGTTCTTAGAGATATAATATGTTAGGTACTGGAGAAAAAATGTGTTACCAAAGGATATATTGATGCGATAAACTAGTGAATTTTCAATCATTGTAGGGTTGCATCAATGGTCAGCTTTAAGTCTTTACCTATTTGCCTTAGTCATGGATGAATTAATTATACACATTCAGTATGATATCCCATGATGTATGTTGTTTGTTGACGATATGGTTCTAATAGATGAAACTAAGGAAGGAACACCACTAAATTAGAAATCTAGAGAGAAGCACTAATCATAGGGTTTAAAATTAGTAGAAATAAAACTGAATATATGAAATGTAAATTTAGCAACTATAGAAGTGGAAATAATGAGAAATGAAGATTGAAAGTCAAGAGATAATAAATACTGAACATTTTTGTTAATTAGGTTTGATTATGAGTAAGGTTGGCGAGGTTGGAGATGATTCATATAATCGAAGTATGTTGGCTTAAGTGGAGGAGTGTATTTGGCATATTATTTGATGCGATTGGTATTATTCAACCTTTGTTGGCTTCTACTAAACATGACATAAAGGAAACCGAAAAGCTACAAAGACGAAAGGTTTTTCATACGAGGGTGAATTTGGGTCGTACAAGAATTTGGGATCATGATTTTGCCTCTTACGCTCTATCACATTCTTTTGGGCCGTACATGAATTTGGGATCATGATGTTGTACGTGTTGGATGTGCCAACACTTACTCTTTTATTAATGGCTCAACGAAATACACTCTTACTTGTGCTATTGGTTCGAAAGCTATCAAATTGAGGAAGATTGGGTGTGTTGCTCCTTCCAATGGAATTGTTGGCCGTGATCATAATTTGTTAGAGGTGAGTTCTTTTCAACATAGGAGAATTGATGGTGCAACCCTTAACTGCTTGGAGTCGGATGCCTGTTATCCATTTTGGAAGTCTAGGGTGAAGTCCATGGGTCCGTTCTGTGGACTGAACTTTTTGGTCCAATAAATGTAATTTGTAGTTTTTATTATTATTAATGTATTACTTTGTTAGGTGTTAAATAATTATTAGTTTGATTATTTTTTATTATGTTTTCAAACACTTTTAGAATTTGGTTTCAAAATTTGTTTAGGGTTATTGGCCTATAAATGTTAGGCTTTGTATTAAAATTGTTCATAGTTTGATTAATAATATTGTGAGCGTTCAAGTTGTGGCCAATTTGTGTGTTCTTCTCTCTCTTCTACAACACCGTTCTACATAACTAATGTCTTGCACTAAACCCTCCCTCCCTCCCTCCATCACTCTTCATTTGCATTCTATTCCACTCCAATTCTTGGGGTGTGTCATAGGGAACAAAACAAGAAATTGTGTAAGGAATGTGACCTGCTGGGATACAATTGTTTTTTTTCTTTTTCCTTTTTCCTTCTTTGTGTCTGTGTCTGTGTCTGTGTGTATTTTTTTTTTTTTTTCTTTTTGTTGGGGATAAATTCTAGTCAAAGCTAAAATAAATAATTTTGTTATACACATAAGAAACATAGACACTTCTAATAAGGTAGTGGGTCATGTCAAACACCATGTCCGACACGATACTCATGGGACACTTATCAACCCTTGTTATACACACCTCAAAACATATCCTACCATTTTTTTAGAATTTTCTAGCCTCGGAAAAGCTTTAGACACTTGGAAAACACGTGCACATTGCTTAGGCATACATAAAATACAATACAAGTTTGATATACACAATAAGGTTCTTGTTGGGGGAAAAGAAAAGGATAACTATGGTATGCGGTTGGCCTATGAAAATTTTGATATTCCTCTCTCTCTCTCCCCCTCCCTATGATATTTGATGTCATTACTTTTGTTTGTAGATGTATGTCATAGAGATGAAGTCAAGAAATTATTTTGAGGGACCTAGCCTGCTTGGCAAACGAAACTATTTGACATAAAAAATTAATTGATGACATGCTATCCTATTCTCTGTTCCATCTTATTTTCATTGTCTGTTTATTAGATCATTAGTGTGCAGTAATAATTCAAAGCTGTTCTTTTTGCTATGCATTTACTAAACTTATTTTAACTTTGGAATGTTTAGCACTATTTTGGTGAAGTTGGTCACTTTTCCATTTGGTTTCCTAGTGAACTAGGAAATTGACCTTCTGTTTCTATTCTTAATGAACATGAAAATCCAATGGTTATAGATGCCCTTAGCTAATGGAATAATGAATTTGATGCTTGTAACTTAGTTGCTAACTTCATTTATTATTTAATGAGTGCTTATGTATCCCACCTTTTCAGTGAGCAACATCATTTCTTATATTCTTTGATGTTTTTACTTGTATACATATTAATTGCTTGATGGTTGCTTTACTGCTTCTCTTTAGTGAGAAACATCGTTCATTCCCAAAAGAATATTGACCAATCTGCGTCAGGAAATTTACAATTGAATAACACAGTACAGTCTTCATATGTGGGTCCTGGGCATTCAATGCCCAGTGAAGTTCCTGAATCTATTCGATTTGCGTCAGATCCAGCAAAGCTTATCTTGGATGCAATGCAAGGTTGTTATCACTCAAACTTGGAGGGAGTGAAAAGCTCCAAGTTGAACGTCATGAAGAGGTTCATTCCCTGGCTAAGGCAGTTATTAGGAGTCTCACTAGAGGTTAAAACCCATGTCAAAGAGGAAGCATTGAAGTTCGCAGCTAATTGGAAAGCAGAAGTGATAAAAGAGAGTCGGAATCATTCAGTGGTCTGGTGTTTTTTGCTGTTTTTAGGCACCTACAAATTGGCCTCCTTTTATAATACGAATGAGCTTCTTGGCTTTATGGAGATTGTTTGTGACCGCATGGAGGCAATTTATTTATTCTCCACCCTTGGACTGGCATATGAAGTCCCTAGTAAGTGCTCTCTCTTTCTCCCTCTCATGATCACCAATTTAAGCTCTATACCCTGCCAACTTTTGCTGTTTTCTGTGGTTTGCAGCCTTTTTTTTTTTTTTTTTTTTTTGTAATATTGATCTACTTTTTTGTTCAGTGTTCTGTTTAGATTTCTTTCTTTTTTTTCGGTTGTCTTTCTTTCTTTTTTTTGTTAACATTCTAGGAAGTTATAAGGTTGTTAGTTTGTTAGTAAAGTTAGTGTACAAAAGTGTACCACTTAAAAGGGCCTCCGCTTGTCTATCAGCTAGAGCCCTTGACCTTTCCTCACTGCACCCTAAGGTGCAGCTACAAGCCAACTTGCCACAAGGGCATTGGCTTGTGGTTTTTTACACTGTTCGTATTCTCTGATGTGGATTGACCAGGAAGATTCGGTGGCTTTTAGTCTCCCAGAAGTTATAGGTGGGACCATTACGATTTGCTGCCCTTTCATGTTAAGATATGGTAATATGGTGGCTTGGCGGGCTTCATTGCCCTTTGGCCTGCAAATATGCTAGTAATTTCAGTTTGTTGATATTTACTTTTGGTTATACATTAGTGTTTAGGTTGTCTATTTTAAAATTTTCAAAGAATACAATTTTTACCTTGTTTTTCTTACAGTTGCTTTTGAATTCTAACGTTGATGTAATTGGGAGATGCCATTGTGTGGTCCTTTTTTGTGCCTAGGCTTGAGGCTACGCACTGTGTGCACCATCCTCATTTGGCACGTCTTGACTTCGGAGGGGAGTATGTGATGTATGATTGGTCCACATGTCATTTTGTGAGGCTGACACATGGAAGCAAACTTATTGAGATGATGATGTGGCAAACATGTGGTGGTGATGTGGTGTACCATATAAGATAGCCAGAAGTATTCCCCCCCATATCTAAATAACATGAAACATTGAAAGTATGATTAACAAATGGTCCTTTTTTTTTCCTTTTTTGATACCTAAGGAGGATAACTCTTTGAGAATCGGGGATTTAGGCCAATTAGCCCCATCACATCTGTTTATAAAATTTTCGGTAAAGTGTTATTTAGGAGATTGAAAAAAATTTAGGGGGATACTCTCTCTTTTTCTCAAGGAGCTTTTGTATAAGGGCATCAAATTTTGGATGTGGTTTTGGCTGCAAATGAGGCAGTGGAGGATTATAGATGTGATTGTAAGGAGGGTGTTACCTTTAAGGCAGATTTTGAGAAGGCCTATGATTATGTGGAATAGAGATTTTTGGATTTTGTATTGCAAAAGAAAGGTTTCAGGATTAGGTAGAGAAAGTGGATCCAAGTTGTTTGTCCTCATGCTATTTGTTTGTCATAGTTAATGAAAAGGTTGGTACCACTTTCAGGGCTTCTAGGCGGTCTTTGGCTGGGGAATTTATTATCTCATTTTTTAGTTTACATTAGTGGTGGATGTTTTGATAGAATGGTTGATAAGGCTAAAGTTTTAGGTTTGGTGGTTGACCTTTTGATTGGAAAAGAGTATTTGTGTGTCTCATTTACAGTTTGCAGATTTTAACCACCCCTCCCCCCCCCTCTTTTTTGGTCCTTGGTGAAAAAAATAAAATTGTTAATTTGCTTTCCATTTGAAGTATATTTTAGATGGTTTTTGGATTCAAGGTGAATTAGTCCAAGAGTGCCATTCTAAGAATTAATTTTCCTTCGGATACGTTGAATAGGTTGACGGGTTTATTAGGGTTTTCCATTGAGTCTTTGTCCTTTAAGTACTTAGGATTAATTTTCCTAGGAGTGAATCTAGTGTTCCTATTTATTTATTTTTATTATTATTATTTTTTTAATCTTTATTTGAAGTATTGGTTTGTGTGGTTAATAGAATTGAAAGCACTATGAGGGATTTTTAGTGACGGGTGTTGTTAGAATTTCCCATCTTTACCTTCACCTACTCCACTACACACTCCACTTCACCTACCTCTACTCCACTACACACTCCACTTCACCTAACCCACTATCACCTCCACTACACCTACTACCACATTTTCTTCTATATATAGATTGTATAGGAATTGTAATTAATGAATCTTGTAATCTATCAATCAAGACATCAATCAATAATACATAAATTCTTACAGGTGTGATGAGAGGAAGAAAGATCACTTGATTAGGTGGGATTTGGTTGCATTTTTTAAGAACAGTGAGGGTTCATGCAATTGGGAATATCATAGATAAGAACAAGACATTATTAAGAAAATGGTTATGGAGGTTCCCGTTGGAGCAAGTTGCTTTAAGGTATGCTGTAATTACAAGTATAGGTTGAGGTGGAGGATGTGAATGGATTGGCGGCTATTTTGGGGTGTAAAGTAACGATGTTGCCAGTGGCCTATTTGGGATTGCCTTTGGGGTCGACTTTTAAGGCAATTTCGGTGTGGGATGGGGTGGTGGAAAGGGTTCAAGGGTGGTTAGCGGGGTGGAAGGGCCAATACTTGTCCAAAGGAGGGAGGTTGACGTTGGTTAAGAGTACATCAGGCAACATGTTATTCATGTTTCGGTGGTGCGTCAATTGGAGAAATTGCAAAGGAATTTTCTTTGGGTGGCGCGTCAGTTGGAGAAATTGCAAAGGAATTTTCTTTGGGTTGGGTTGGGCTGGGTTGCGTTGGGTTGGGGCGGGGCGGGGATATCTCTTGACATTTCTTAGTATCATTTAGTGTATTAGAAGGTGGTGTGTAGGCCCAAGGAGAAGGGGGGTTGGGGTTTCGGAGTTTAGTAATGTTTAATAGGGCCTTGTTGGGGAAGTGGTTGTGGCGTTTTGTGAGGGAAGTGGACCCGCTGTGGCAGAGGTTGGTGGTGGCTAAATATGGTCTTGGGTGAGGGGGTTGGTGTTCTGGGGAGGTGAGGAGATCTCATGCGAGGGGTTTGTGGAAAGGTGTTTGGCTTGGGAGAGTGGAGTTTTGGAGGTGGGTTAGTTTTAGTGTGGGTTGTGGTGCTCGGGTGAGGTTTTGGACAAATTGGTGGTGTGGTAAGGGGAGTTTGGCTTGCCAGTTTCCTTTGGTGTTCCAGATTGCAGATCGTCAAGATGTGGTAGTTGCTTCTTGCTTGTCTATTGTGGATGGCAGGATGGTACGTGATGTAAAGTTTCGTAGACCAGTGTTTGATTGGGAGGCTGATCAATTGGTGGATCTTTTGACAGAGTTGTATGGGTTGCGGGATGTTGGGGTGGGTGAGGACGTTTGAGGTGGAGGTGTGAGGGGGACTAAAGGGGTGTTTTTGGTGTCTTTGTTTTATCGGGAATAGTTGGGGGTTGGGCTTGGCGAGGGGTTTGGATACCTGGGGTGCCATCTAAAGTGGATTTCTTTGTTTGGTCAGCTGTGCATGGTTGGATTTTGACTTTGGATAGTTTGATTGTCATGGGCATGTTTTGACAAATTGCTGCTGTGCATGTTGTCATGATGCGGAGTATGTGTTGCATCTTCTTTTTCATTGTCTAGTGACATTTCAATTATGGGGGTTGGTATTTGGTGTGTTTAATTTGGTTTGGGTGCAACAAGGGACAATGAAAGAGGTGTTGGCTAGTTGGAGAGGAGGGAGGGTTGGGAAGAGTTATCAGAAGGCTTGGTTGTTGGTTTCTTTATGCTTAATGTGGTTGGTGTGGTTGGAGCGGAATCGTCAGACGTTCGAGGGGTTAGTGGCTTCAGTTCCTTGTTTGAAAAATAAGTTGTTGGTTGTTTTAATAGATGGGTGTCTGGTACTGTGGATCCAAATTTTTTCTTTTTTGGATTTTATTGAGTCTTTATTCCGTCATTGATTGTAGTTCTTCGGTTCTTTGCATCATCTTGATGCTTTTTTAATAATACTATTCCTTTATTTACCAAAAATAAATAAATAAATGAATACAAGTATAGGTTACATCCCAATGGATGAGATTCTCATGTGGTTTAAAAGAAATTCTAGATCTCCATGAAAGTGCATTTGCTAGATACTTGATTGATTCTCACCTTTCATTCATTTTTGGGTTGGGAATGGGGAGCTTATTTGGTTTTGGGAGGATTTGGATTGGTGATGATTTGTTTGATCATTTATTTCTTCGTCTTTATTGGTTGACATACTTTTATAAATGTCCGATGCCTTAAGGAAAAAAATATTGACACTTATATTTATAATTTTTGGAAAAATCTAGTTTGTCCCCGTGATAATGTGATTATTGACTTAGGCAATCCAATAAAAATTATGCAACCATGACCAATATAGAGAGAGTAAAGTAAAACACAACCACAACACCAAGAGTTTTTACGTGAAATAATCACGATTGAAATCCACAATAAGAAAAATGAGTTCTAGAGAAATGTGGAGTGATCCAGAACATGTTGCAAAACAAATCAGGAATGCACACTTTAAATAGGCCTGAGGTAGAGCACCATTGCTGGAGTGGTTAGTATGGTCGCAGGCGCGACTCTATCTTCGCGGGCCGCAGACAAAAGTACTGGGAGCTCATTTTGGTCGTGGCCTGGATGCAAGCGCCATCCATGGTCATCGCGGGCGTGATTCTATTGTTTGCAGGCACGATGGTCATAATGACCAGCTGATACTTGCAACCTTTTTACTCTGTTTTTGTTAACTATTTCGGCCCATTCTTTTCCAATCAATCCTCTATCTTTTGCAGACTTTTTCAATACACTCCATCAAGACTTTTAACCCCATCTTTTGCCAATCTTTTCAAAGACGAGCAGTCCCCTTTTTCCTTCTGCAGCAGACAAACAGCCACCCTAAGTCCAATTTTTCGCACAAGCTTGTCATAACAATCTGCCAACAAGATTCACCAAATGGATTTGCACAATATCTCTTGACATTTCTTGAGCCACTCGACAGCCACAAAAACTTTTTTTTCTTCCAACCAATCCTTCACAAAATCTGACAAGCACTTTACAACCATCATGAATCATGTTAATTTATAAAATCAAGAAGATAATGAACAAGATCCATAAGGCAGTATTGTGAAGAATAACCAAAATAAGAGAAAGAAAACTTTGGAATGGAATTGCCAAAATATATTACAATGAAACATGATTAGGATTAAAAACTACATTTTTAACAAATTTTTACTATTTCAAAATATTGTATTTATTTACTAAATATAAAAATTCAAATTTTGAAATTTTTATGCCTCGAAGCCTTGAGACTTATGCTTAGCCTCATGAGGGGTAAAACTCCTCTGGTTATGCATTTGCCTCTGAAAATTTTGGTTGCATCCGAATGCTACTTGTCTTTTTAGGGGTTATGTTACCATCAAGAAACTGTGATTGCTTTGGAATTGTGTGACCTGTGCTATGTTTTGGGAGATTTGGTTGGAAAGGAATGCTATGGTTTTTCCTGATAGGTTTGATGATGAAGAGGGGATGTGGGATAAGATATGTTATGTATCTTCTTTTTAGGCTTCAATTTCATCTCCTTTTAAGAGGATTCCATCATTTTTTATTAGTAGAGATTGGCAAGCTGTGTGTGACATGTAATTTTGGTCTTTTATATATATTTTTTGGTGTATTTCTTGTCCCCCATTTTCGTATGTACTTCTTTCTTAATATGTTAGTAAAATTTGCTGGTTGCTGACACATATTTTCGGATTTTGTTTCCATCATTTATTTCTTTCTAATCAAACAGACGCATAGGTTCTAAATTTTTCTGTTGAAGTATTTGGTATATTTTTAGATGGAAGTTAAGGCTGCTTAATTTGTTGATTGATTTGGGAAAGGTATATATCCCTCGGGAACAATTTTCCTCACAAGGGGGAAGAGCACTTGCTCAAGTTTCTGCTTGTATTTAGCATTTTTTTATTTATTTGTAATTAGAGTCCTGGCATCATATGGTTCATTCTAAGTTATTGCAATTTCTAGTGGGTTTTCTTTTTCCTTGTATTTACTGATGTCACTTTCCTTTAGAATGTAATTATACTGAGCAATTACGAGCCTTTGAACATTCTGATGGAGTGTGCATCTTTGGTTTGTAGTTTTTGTCAGAAATCTTATTGAAAGACAGCTGCACCTGGAGGCTATTAGATTTATTTTCGCATTTAATCTTGTCGACAAATTCCCACCAATACCTCTCCTGAAAGGCCACTTGACTTGCGCAGAAGAGTCTGCCAATAAAATACTCAAGAAGGGACACAACTCTCTTCAAGCACAGGTATTTTTGTCCCTCTCATTTTGTTCATTAAATCGTTACTTCCTAGCCTTTGATCCATCAAGTTTATATTGTTTATAAAACCTGTTCACAGAACATGGCCACAGGTAAAGAAATAAATGCTCTTAAAGCGGTAATCCAACACATCGGGGTGCTCAAGCTTGAATCAGAATACTCGACTGAGGACCTTAAAGCTCGCATTGAGCAGCTGATAAGGCAGAAAGAGGACCGGACAAGTGTTGTAGAATCCCCTGCCTCCACTTCTCAAACACAAGAGCAGAATGTGAAGAAACGTATTGCCCCCATCCCTGACCATGCCTCTAATACTCAATCTCAACAGCATCATGCGAAAAAGAAGCTTTGTCGGACGCTATATCCAGGCAGGAACAGCGCCGCCCAATCCTCCTGTTGTTGGTAATGCTTCCCCCATTCAGCACCCACCATCTGTATTTGCTGCAGGTACTGCACCTTGTCAGTATTGGTCAAGGGGCTCCACTGCCATTCCCTTGCATACGAGCCATTCAATGTCACAACAGGGATCTCGTACCCCTTCTAATTGGGGCTTCTCGCCATTCAGTTCAACCGGTTTCCACTTTGATTCTGCTCCTAATTTTCATGCCAGGCCATTTATGCCACTGGGAACAAATTCTCATTCATGGTCAGTCTTCAAGCAGCCTCAGCCTTAAATGACTTTATAGGATGCACTAACAGAAGATTAATTACCCTAGCCCAGTGATTACCGTTCATCTTCCAATCCTATATGCGTTGGATTAACTTCATGTGTAAATAACAGCTACTCGCAGACTTGAATTCACTCCACGGATGACCAACTTCATTGTAAATAATTTCTCTTGATTTATACCGTTCTTGAAAAGTGTGTTATTGTTTTTGGGTGTGCTCTAATCGAATTTTGTCAGGGTTTAAGAATTCTTGCTTGGAATGGTTTTGGATGTCTTGTCTTGTTGATTTTGGATGACTTGTTTGCCGTTGATTCTTGTTCAAACTAGTGTTTGCTGTGTTAGGATCTGTGGTGGAGGAGCTTAGACAATGGGAACAACACTGCATCGATCTGGGTCCTCCTCTCTCTCAGGCAATGGGATCGACACTGCATCGATCTGGGTCCTGCTCTCTCTCTCTCTCTCTCTCTCTCTCTCAAGATCTTGCTTTAATTTTGTTGCTTCTTGAAATTCGATTAGGGTAGTATGGATTCACTTCATGTTTAGCAAAATTATTCATGCTACTGGGTTGTTTGGGCATGTGGGACTTACTATAGGTTCCATTTTGATCATTCAAGTTATTATTTTTTAGATCGTTCTGTGTAGATCATCCATACAATGAACCAAGTTGATCTAATATATGCAGTTATATAATTTTATTATATTTGTCCATGAAAAATAAATGACCAGAATGATTTTAAAAATAAATCATATATTTTTTTGAAAACAAATGTGATAAGACTTTATATTTATGAAAATTAAATTGATTTAATTTTTTGTATAGATGATCTAGCCAAAGTGATGTAAAACATGTACAACTCGAATAAACGAAACAGGATCCGTGATGAACTCATATGGTTGAACAAAACTGTCTAATTTAATTAGTGTTCTAGAGACAATTCATTTCCTTTTTCGCATTTTCAACAAAACTTTTTGTGCCCTTATTTATGTGTGTAGGTTCGGGGATGTAATTTCACGACCCGATCTCGGCATCTATGGTTACTCAAGGCCAATTCTAGAATTAAATAGATTAATAAACACAAATGAAAATAATTATTTAAATAAAGATATCAAAATATATATTAGAATTTTTATTTATTTATAGCAAAAAGATCATTAGACCGAAATCCGCAAAATAATAAATTAAGCTTGTGTAAATAAATTTGTAAATATTACAAAAGTACATTGTACGTCTACTCCATAGCCTCGTTCCAAAAACAAGTTGTATACTTCACTCTTTAATCAATTTTTTTTTGAAAATTAATAAACAATTTATAAGTATATCGCAAAATGAGGAGTATTATACCGAGAGCATCCCAGGTCTTAAACACGACTTGTTATGTTAATTGGTACTCATTACTTAGTGTTTGTATTGTTTCCGGACTCATGGTAATGATATATTTGCATTTGACTTTTAATTATTAGAGATAATTGTTGAAAAGTTCAAACTAAAGAAGGTATAAGACATTAAGTTCAATGGATATTTTTTATTAGTGAAAGGTCCATCATTTGTAAAATAATTTGGTGAGAAATCCTTTTGTTTATTTTTAAAGATATTTTGTTTCTAATTTTACTCATTAATTTATCTGTTGACTTATCTGTTCAAATTTTATATCTATCTGTTCAAGTTTTTTATGTGTAAATTTTCTATTTATCTAAATTTTATCTGTGTAAATTTTCCACCTGTCTAATTTTTTATCTGTTCAATATTTTTATATGTACAATTTTTCATATCTGTATAATTGTTATCTATACAAATTTTGCAAAGCAATCAAACCAGACTTACTTTATCCATCTGTTGTGTATTGGGAGTAAATATTCTTCACTTCCGTAGTCCTTGCCTCCTTATTTGTTTCACCCCAAACAGCGTCATGTCTCCTGCAAACACAATGAAAGAGAGCCACCCGGCGAGTGTCTCACTGAAAAACCCCTCTGACGGTCTAGTTAGCACCCTCGGAGAATATAGGAGAATGAGAGAATTTTCTAGCTCAAGATTGTTTATCTTCCACCATGAAGTCTAGGGCTTTTATACAAGCAAATATCCTTCTTCTCCACGTAGTGCACACCACTACTAAGGATTTTGGGACGTGGATATTCTGTTATCTTATTCTCTCGCGTGCATGCACTTGTCAGAAGTAGACAATATGACACTCAGCAATAACTTGGGCAAGTCAAAGTCTGTCCCCTACGTACCATCAGGTCGAGAGTAGCACTCAACTGAGCCATTCTTAGCCGAGCCAACTACAACCCGGTCTAGCTCGTGAACCTCACCCATGAATCCATAACCGTGTTGCTGCCTATCAATTCAGTCAGAGATACGCAGGACTTAGATCGGCCCACTATGAGAATGGCTCGGTCCATGTTTGAAGGATAGCTTGGTCGACGTACTCAAACCCTTTTTTAGTTTGGCCTAGCTGACCACAAAACAGTAGACTTAGCTCGGTCCATTATATGGATAGCTCGGCCTTTTTTGTTCAATACAAATTTCCCTCTCAATTGCCCCTTAATCCCATCTATTGCGGCATAATTGGGATTACTTGACTCTCTTATAACTTCATTTCAGCTCGGTTTAGTGTTTACATTAAGGTAGCTCGATTCCAATTCGTTTTAGCTGAGCTACACCTTTAGTTTAGCTTAAAACTGTCTCTGACTCCCATTTTGCCTTCTAATTAGTCTCTCTAACAACAGATCTCATTTGGACCACGTGGCATCCCTTCAATGGTTTCGTACGGCCACCCCAGCTGGGTTGCACTGTTCACCAAATCTTGAATCGGCATGCATTTTCACCTTCCATCTACATAGGCAATACACCTCCACACTGCTTCTTTATTGTTCATTCTCTGTCTCGTGCCAACCCTAGAAGACGGTCATTCTCCCCACTTTTCTGCATTCTTCATGCCCAAATCATGCCGTTATTCTTGCATTTTTCCCATCGTACTCTACTTTAGAACGTGTTCACCGATTGGATCATCGTCAAAGGCTCAAATCAGTAAGCTATTCAGAACCTTCGTCAACTCTTCATTGTTGTTCTTCATGTTCTTCATTGTATTTTCTCTTTCATGCGTTTTATTTGCTACAAATTGGGATTCTGAACCCATAACTGCCAATTATGACCTTAAAACACCCAATAGTGTGGGTCAATGAGCACTTAGGCTTATTTTGGGCATAAACCTATATTTGGAGTTCTTCTAGCCTTGGTTTTGATATGAACTTCAAGAACCCTAGGTTGGACCGAGCTAAAATCCCACTTTTAATCTAAAAATCTATAAGCACCGAGCTAAAACTAGTTTCTTAGCTTTGGAACTGATAATGCTCTAAAACTAAGCTAAATTGTCAACATAGCTTCCTAGGCTGAGCTAAAATCGAGACCACGGTTCTTGGTCTGTTTACCTTCCTCTAAGCCAAGCTAGAGATTTAGCTCACTAATCCTGAAAACTGAGCTATATAGCTCCTACTCTAAAACTGAGCAACGGCCAGCCCCCTGTCTTTGTCCGAGCTGAACCACTAGACAGGCCTCTCGCCCAAAAATCAAGCTATAACGAGTATTGTTGCCGTGTTAAGACTTGACCTTGATGCGCTTTATTTTTTCACCTTACAAACTAAACTAGGACTGGCCAGGCACACCTCACCACTGCCATCAAGTGACGTTCTTCAACCGATCAACTGGGTTATTTCCTGTGCAAAACAGAACCGAGCTCCATGGGCAAATATTGTTTCAAAGTGAGCTTACCAAGAGCAATTGCTGATTTTCATGAGAAATTTGGAATCCCAAATGATGTTCAATTTGAACTAGCCAGTGAGGAAGTAGTACCTTGGGGTCGACTTGATTCGTGCCCCTCTACTTTGGTGTCAATAATAGAGTGGGGGCTTCACTTCCCAGTGCAACCCTTAGTTTGTGAGTTCCTTAAGAAAACTAGGTTGTGCCCAACCCAGGCCTCGACTAACACCTTTAAAATAATTAATAGTGTGGTCGAGCTGAACTGTCAATCCAATCTAAACCTAGGTCTGGTCGAGATATTCCACCAATACACACCTAGCAAAAATAAAGGTGGCTTCTACTGGTATCTTAAAGTGAGGAAGGGCCAACCACAACTTATAGAAGGAACCACTGACAAAGAAATGAACAACGATAACTTTACGTGGGTTTTTGAAAATTATGAGGACACTGAAGCAAACATACCGAGCTAGTATATAAACAAGGATAAGGGGAGTGCTGATAAGCTGATGTAGCTCGTTTTACTTTTCATGTGGACAATCTTTGCCGATCTAACGTTTGTCTCTTGTTTATAGATTATACTCACTTGGCAGAAAATTATCACCGAGCTAATCAAGAGGCAATAAGGGCCGCACTGAGATGTCCTGGCCGACTTTGCCATGAATTGCTTGCCTACTAACCAAGCTACCAATACAATGCACCACGCAAAAGTAAAGTCACTGATTTCTTGTACGAGCCAACCCCAGAACCAGACCCAAATCTTCCAGAGATTACCTTGATCCCCTTAACCACAAACAAGAAATGGCCAAGATCCAAGCTATCAAATCTACGATTACAGGAACGAGCTCCTCCGTCACACAAAACACAGAGCTTGAAGGTCAAGATGTCGCGCTAAATGTTGGTACGGTCCTAGCTTTGGCTTCAACCGGGGCGCTTGCTGCTTTATCTTGGCCAAGAAAAAGGTCGAGGGCTTCAAGGGCCAAGCAAACTCTAGTTGATGAGGACATAGAGGAGACCCATGCAACCGAGCAACCAGAGGCTGCCAAGCTAGCTGAAGCTAACGTTGTTGCGAACCCTTCACCCTCTTCCCTAGTATGGACGCCTTCTTTGAAGTCCAAAGGTCGTGCTATGCATGAGAAGGACTTTGTCTATGCTGACAAGGACGATTAGCTCGGTTTTAATTTGGCTAGGGCCCTTTGCTTGCCAGCTAATATGGAGAGGCATCAACAATTGTCCGATTCGAAGAAAGTCAAATCTGTAACCAAATCTTTGGTTCTTGTAAGTCTTTCTCTTTAATCCTTCACCCTAACTGTTTGCTCAGTTATTCAAGTCTCACTTGTTTGATTTTTGCAGGCCGCATAAAAAAACTACGTTGTCCATGAGCGCATGGTCTGTCTAAAACAAAGCCTTCGCAATGCCATGCAGGAGAACAAGGAGAAAGTAGTCGAGTTGGCCACTTTCAAGGACGCTTTTGCCAACTTATCCACTAAGAAAGACTAGCTGGTTGAA